CCCCAAAACCCCAAAACCCCAAAACCCCAAAACCCCACCTTATAATTGAGATTGAAAACTAACTCGACTAAAAGGCTAAAAAATGTTGCTAAAGGTGTTATTCCAAGAATCAGATTAGACGTTCGAAGTTAAATTATAAGCATTCAAATAGCCCTTCAGGAATCAAATTTTCCTCATGAACTTTACATGACAACTTAGCCTCCCTCTTGTTGAAGCTAGACTTCTTAGTAGTCGTGGATGTACATGTTTTATACGAAAGTTTCTTCATACTTAAGGCCTTTGCCGTACCTTTAGTTCTAACAGATCTTTTTGTACTTTTTCTTGCACTTAATCGTTTCGATTCTTCATCCCATTCGAATTTAGGTAACCAAGGTTTTAATGAATCTAAGCCCATTGATTTTAGTAGTAGTGTCTTTAAGTGCTTGCAATTTGGGGAGTAGTCTGGCTCAAGATTTCGGATGTAGAATACGAACTCTCTGAATTCATCTGGGAGACCATCTCAGAGTTTCTCTATGACATCGTCATTTTTCATCTTAGCAATCAGTTCATTATTATTTTCTTCCTTCTTTTCAGAGCTCGTCCCATGGAAGGGACTGTTTTAAAAATAACAGCATAATGTAAGTTAAGCTTTCATAGTCACTTTTCTTAGAAATAATATTATCAAGCTGGGCTTCTGCAGAGCCGAAGAAAAAGTTGCCATCGAAGCCTCGAGCTTTTCTTTTATTTTGGTATCCAAACTTATTTTTGGAGAGGTTGACTGAGAGTCCAAAATCAATGAGGTACAGTTTAGACTTGTCTTCTAATCCTATTCAAATATTGGAGGGTTTGAGATCTCTATGAATAACACCTCTACTATGTATATGCTCAAGCCTGTCTATCATCTGGAGACCAATCAGAGCAACAGTGTTATAAGAGAAGACTTGGCCTGCTTGATTAAACTTTTTGTTAAGGTTTTCACCTACAAGTTCCATCACCATTGATTGGTTACCCTCTTGAGATGCAACTTTATACACTTTAGGGATACCTTCACCTTCACATTTTTCCAAAAACTCAGCTTCTTCCTTCAACTTGCCAACTCTCTGATCTTTCGGCTTCTCTACCTTAACTGCGTACTTGCCAAGGTACGAATATATGACTCCAAAGACGCCTTGGCCAATGATTTCATCAAGAATGAGGTCTTCAGTTTGCATATTAAATTGTGTTCTAACTAGATTTAGATAAATTCTCAATATTTTTCTTTTAAGAGGGGTTTTGGGGTTTTGGGGTTTTGGGGTTTTGGGG